AACTTAGGTCTAACAACCTATTCACTAGACTCAACAAATAAATCTCTCACTCTCCAATAAAAAAAAAAGTCTCCCAAACACTCTACAAGGTCACTCTAAAAAGAAATTTGTAGAAGGAATATGTAGGAGTTCTATGATAGTCAGTTTTTCAGACCTTATATATGAAAGACACAAAAAAACTATCCAGAAAACTAGAAATTTCAATTTAACCATCAAGGATCATACAGGATGATCACACATCATACGTACGATCAATTCAAAAATTTCTCAGATGATTTTATACACTGATTAGCATATGTAAGAACTAACATCGTATAGTATGATCAATATAAAATTGAACTGATTCAACTAATACAATTTTATACCAACTAATTTCATATTCTGGATAGCATATTGTACAAAGTTAATATCATACAGTATGATATGTTTAACAAAAAAAATGCTTTTTTTGGTACAAAAATAGATTTATCCATTTCGTACTATGGACATCATCTCTACGAACCTAAGATCGTACAGTACGATCAATTCAGAAAATTTTGAGTTCATTCGGGATGGACTAGTACGTAGCCATTTAGTACAATAGATATCGTCTATATGATTATAACTTCTTACAGTACGAACATGACTTAGAAATTTTTTTCCTAACAGGATTCGATTAACTTCATCCTGGAGGAACAATTAATCAAATCACCCTGTATGATCCATGAATGTATAACATGATTAGTTTTAAAAATACAAGTTTTCTACACTCCCCCAGTATGTGTGTGCACGATTATCCAATTACAATCACACTCTCAAAGACTTAAAAAAATATAAAAAATATAGACTTCAATTATAATAAACCCTAATCTAATATGTCTTGAAGTTTTCAGCAATCTGGAGGATGATTTTCCTGAAATATTATTACGCGTAAACAACAAAATAATATTTCTAATATATGTTAGGAGAAATTGTAGTCAATTTAATAAATTTTTGGAATCATAAAAAACACATGATATAAAAACATAGTTATGAGAACCAAGTTGGAACAATCTCTCCATATTAGATAATGACAAAAAAATTATTATTTTAGTCAACATTTAAAATGAATTTTTGCCTTAGCTCCCCCTAAATGAATGACCAATTTAATAATGAGTTCCCATAAAGATAAAAAAAACAACCCTTAAAATTAAAAAGAAACAATAACTACTAAAATAAAAAACAACTCGAACAAAAACACAACTCGAACAAAACATACACACATTCACAATACAACATATACGAACACACAACACACAACATCTAATAAACAATCAAAAATATTAATCATCAAATAATATTATGACTCCCCCTTTTAATAATAATACAAAGGGATGAAAATTTTAAAATGAAAAGTTTTTTTTTTTAAAGATAAATTAAAAGAGTTAACGAAGAGGAAGATTTTAAACTAATTGCACATACAACATTAACTTTCCAATGCTAACAAGAAAAATTCATAGTTCAAATTAAATAACAACTAAGATAAGAAAAGTCAGTCAAGTTCATTTTTCATGTTAGACAAAATATATATATAAATAATTATTACAAAAAGGACAAAATAAAGATTAAGTAGTTTCTACTTTATTAGTGAAGATGATTGTCGATTAAATGGATTTGAATTAGAGATATAATGATAACAGAAAGAACAATACAAATAACTTTTTTTAATTAGCAACATTGCACATCTTTTCAAATGTCAGTTACAGACTTTATGCATCTTTTCTATTTGGGATAATTTTGTGCCTCTTTTCACTTTGTTAACTGTTGCGCATTTTTTCTATTTTTATATGCTTTGTGTATTTTCTTTTTTTTTTTTCAATTTGGTTCAATATCAATAATCTTAATTCAAATTCCACTAATAACAAAAATAAACATATTGATAAAGAAAATAAATATAAATAATACATCTATTTTGCAATAATTATATCAAAATAATACTTGTATATACAAATATGAAATTGATCTCCTAATCTATATCTAGTTATAAATTTAATTTAAATTTTAAAAGATTATATTTTTATAAAAAATTTAATTTATAGGATAAAATAATTCAAAATTTCATTCAAGAGATCAACCACAAATGATTTTTCTAATGAAAGAATTGACATTCCAAGAAATAAAATTTAATACACGTCAACAAAATATTTCATCATTTCATTGATCATTTAAAATACATACACACATTTTTCTTTTCATCATAATCATACATAACATAATCCCATAAACAATACATGAAATCACTAACACACAAGATCACTAAAATTACAGGAATATAAAACAAACACAAATACTCATAAGTAATAACAACAACACAGAAGTATATCTAGTAATTAGAGGGCCTTGATCTGGAGGAGGTGATTGATTAAACATTAAAAAATTACTACTGATCATAGCAACATTCATGTTCACCGAGTTAAACTACCCTCGGATTGAACCCATATCTTAATTATATATAGCATCCTACTGATTTAGCTGATTCATAATTTGATTAAAGTGTTGATCAAAATGAGTTTCCATTCTGTCAAAACGCTGGACCATTTCTTGATAGAAATTCTAGTCAGGTCCAGGTATAGGTACAAGTGCATGAGTAGGAGCTCCCCCTTCTTCCTCATAATCATCTCCCTTAAAGCTTTGATCTCGCCCAAAAAGTGCCCAAAAAGAAGCATCATTAAAGTAAGTAGGGAGTTTAGTGGGAGGATCATTATGGATAAGATTATATCTCATTTCTAAGATATAGGCAACTAGATGCCCTAAAGTCATATTTTTCTTTCTCTTATTATGAGGAAGTCTAATATCATAAAGTTTATAAATAAAATGCATGATAAGTTGGGCTTCATCAAAAGATTTTTCAGTCATTATCAAATAAGTGACTGTGGACGAAAGAGGAGTCATGTTTATGCGATCACTAGCTTTTGGAATAATTAAGGTTCTCATAACATGCTAGATAATCTAAGCATTTTGATTGAGAGTGTAAATATGAGACAAATGACTCACTTGGGCAATACCTCTAAGAGTTTGATTTATTTCAGACTAATGAAAGTCAACTCTAGAGGTTAGGGTGTGTGCTCTTATTCTTTGGGTTCTTAGGTGGAGGAAGTTGTCTAAGTACTCCTTGGTGATTTCTACTCATTGCTTGAAAACATAGGAGGTAATCCTAATGTGGTCCTGATTTACTTTCAGGTTAGCTAGAAAAATTTAGAATGTCTCTTTCTGATAGGTATAGATGATAATCAGGATAAATGAAAGTTGGGTTGAGGCGAATAGGGGCATGATAGAGAAATGGATATCATTCTGAATGAGGAGTCAGGAAGTGGTAATTTTCACAACAAAATATCTATAGAAAGCATCCTCATTCTCTTTGGACAGAAAGTTGCCATCCCTACTAGTTCTAGAGGATGATCCCTTAGAGATGCAGGGTCATTTTCTACTGCTTATCATTTCTAAGATTAGGACTCGAGAAGGTTTGAAAATAAATGAGAAAGTGATGAAAAACTTATCCAAAGACCTTTCAATTTAAAGAAAAATGACCTATCGTACATTACAAAATTGAGATCATACATACTATTACAAAATCGTATGAGACAAAAATAATTTTGTACATGCGAATATATATGGACAAAAAATAAATGGCTTTCTATAAAATGCCATTTATGAGGCATCATTTAGTACAGACTTTTTGACCATATGATCATATAGATGAATATGTATTCATCTAGGATGATCAGAATATTAAAGATCATTTAATAACGATTAGGTTCATCCCCCACAAAAATAGACAACAGGATCGTACAGATAAAATGGGATTTTGTACGTATGATCTAAAATCAATAATTGACATTAATTGGAAAACAGCCCACACTCATACAGATGAAATAACACATATCGTACAGGATGATGACATCATCATATAGTATAAAATTTTATGAAAAAACTAAGTTTTATATTCTTAACTTAGAAACCTACCATGTACATGTTACATAATTCATACAGTATGAAAAAATTTCGTATAGTACGAAAAGAATACTTAGAAAATAAGACATGATTAACAGAAAATCTTTTAAAAACCAATCACTTTAAATCCAATGACATGCAAAACATTGAAAAATAATACCAATGATAAAATACTAAAAGAAAAATTAAACAAAAATAAATAAAGTGAAAACACACAAACATACAAAATCTCACAAACAACCTAAGAAAAATAAACAACACATGATTACATAATAAATCAAGTTTGCATAATTTCAATTTAAACCTTAATATCAATCACACCTAATATGGTCCTTAAAATGCTAAATGTGTCAAAAACCAGTGATTTTGTAAAAATGTCTGCAAGTTGATTATCCATAGCAACATGATGCAATTCATTTTTTCTCTTATCTACATGATCTCTAATGAAGTGATACCTTATGTCTATATTCTAGATTCTAGAATATTGAATAGGATTCTTTGAAATGTATATGGCACTAGTATTATTACAAAAAATCAGAATTATGCTAATAGAAAATCCTAAGTCAATTAATTATTATTTTAATAAATAAAACTCTTGCCACATAACTACCTAAGATAATGTATTATACTTCAGCAGTAGATAGGACTACTGAATTATATTTTCTACTTGGCCAAAAAATTAAAGAGTTCCCTATAAATTAACAAGTTCAAAATATACATTTCCTATCAACCCTACATCCTACAAAATCTTATACTACAAAAAAAAAATTATTTTTAAAGGCATATTATTATGACCCTTTTATTTAAATGCCTTAAGAAATATTTATTACAGCAAATTTTATTTCGTGCTAAGTAACAGTGATTTGGCGTGAGAGGTTTGGCGTGAGGATGAAATCGTGCGATAAGTTATACTTACGGAGCCCGCTTCTTCTTCTTGTTCGCCGCAATCCTGTTCGACTCTTGTTCGCCTCATGTTCGCCTCTTTCACTTTTTCTAAGGTTCTCTATTGCCCGCTTCTTCTTGTTCACTTCTTCTTGTTGTTCTCCTCCTCCAATCGTTGCAGCCCGCGTTAGGTAAAATTCTTTTAATTCCTTTGAATGTCCAATGCCACTGTCTAGGGTTCAGAAATTTTTTTTTTCTTCTTTTGATTTCTAGGGTTCTTGAGATTATCTTCTTTTGATATTTAGGTTCTTAAGATTCTCTCAATTTTGAAACAATCGAATAAAAGGCGATTGTTTGTAATTACTGAAAGGTAAATATTTCATTAATACCCACCCGAATGCTGGTCAGGTAAATATTTCGTTGGTCTTAATACTCATCCGAATGTTGGTATGGTTTTATTTCTCTTAGTTTTCTTGTTCGATTGCTTCCTGTTTATATCAACATGTTGCTTTAGAGTTTATACTTTGCTTTACTTGACTTGATTACAGTTTCATGACATCATTACATTAATTTTTTTTCGCTTACAATTTAAAAATACCCTTACAACTAAAAAAAAAAATTCACTTACAAAGGATGTAAAAATATCCTGGTGGGGATAAACAATTTAAAAATCCCCCGGCTATTACTTTTTATTGAGTTTATGACTTTGAAGGATTTTTTCATCCTCTAATTCAGGGATTCTTCAAATGTTTATATGGGATGGAGAATTTTATTCTTGGTGATTTGGAATATGATCACAATATGCTCTGATATGATACCCAGTCTTGGATCTAGGAATGAGGAGTATGAATGTGGAAGCCCTTCTTCTCTAAACATGGATAAAAAGGGGTATATGTTTCAAGCATCAAGATTATAAGTTTCCTTAGACTTGAATCACTAATAGGTTATAGGATTGGTAATCAAGGCTACAAGGAAGCCTTAATTAGAAAATGAAATGTGGTGTGAAAAATATAATCCTTAAATTATTGGGTTTAAAGGAGTCACTAAATGAGAAATGCTGATTTAAGTTTTCCTTATTTTTGGGTGATCGACCAAATTGCATGAAAATGAGGAATATTGTGTGAAGTAAAACAAAGAGGGGAATTATGATCCAAGGAATTAAAAATAGTATATGAAAGACCAAATAGGAGATGAGACTTGTACACTTCTGCCCTTTCCCTTGTGCTCACACTCTTGATTTGCTTTTTGACATCAATTAATCTTGATTATTATGAGTTATTAAACCATGAACTAAGAAAATCATAAGTTTCTTTGTATGTTATATAACATTGGCACAGTAAAAAAAGAGTTTCTTTTATGTTGTTACTATGTATTTTACATTGTCGATCCCCGCCAAGGTATTTTAGAATTTAAAAATGTCGATACCTGCCAGGGGGCGCTACCCCCTTGGACCCTCGACCATATAATAGTTTAAAAAACCAATTTTGAGAATTTACTGAAATGTTATATTTAAATAGAATCACATTTTGTGCTAATACACTAAATGCAAAAAAAAAAGACTAGCTTACATCCTTTTTCAATTGGGGGTTATAGTCCTAAAATGATTCATAGGATTAGAACCATTATGTAGAGCTCAATACAAGTGATCAAATAAATAAGTGCAACACATAGTGCAAAGCTCAGTATAAGTGACAAATTGAATAAATAGGAGAACTAGCCTCAAGTCACCTATTGATAAGTGCGTACAGTTATGAAATTAAGTTCAAAGATATATGTTTTTTTTTACTTGAAAGTTGTTTTAAGAAACAGTAAGAAAGTAATCACAAACAAAGCCTTAGTTATCATGACATCAAAGGAGACTAATTGTTTATCAGAGCCCAAATATGAATAATCACCAAGGTAAAATAGTTAAGTCAAGCAAAACTACATTTTGAAAGAATTAATCCAAGCATTGAGAGCATAGAGTTCATTTCAGGGATGTGATGAACTAAAAAGAGTTATAATAAGAGCAAATACTCAAGTCTACCTACTTTCTCTCAAAATTTTAGCAAATGAATCTTCCAAATAAATAGGCTAACATACATGTTTTTAAGTTTATGAATATCCAGATTATTGAGATTGAATAGAAGTAACACATTGTTCAATTAATGTGTTCCACCATAATCATCCTTAAAAATCTATTTAAAATTATTTTTTTACAGAATTAAAGAACTTTATAATAATAATGCAATATATTTGACAATAAATAAAAAATCACAATATATAGAACATTCCAATGTTTTAAAGGCTTCATTTTCTACTAAACTAATTACAAAAATTGTGTTAGCGTCTTCTGAATTAACTACGATGATTCAATGATATTTCATTTAAATATTATAAAAATTCCCTTTTTTTCTTAAAAATATTACAACCTAAAAATAAAGGAATCAATCAATAATATAGTTTTAATAATTAATAAATTACATTTTGTATTTCCTTTTATTTATTTGTTTTTTGATAATATAAATAAGGGATAGAGGTTTAATAACAACATCAGATTCGTTAATGAGGAGATCGGGGGATAAGAGAATGATTTCACTCTATAAACTATCTTTGATCGCTAATTTCTTGCTTCCTTCAACAACTTTCCTTTTTCCTTTTTCATTTTTTAAAAGGGTAACTTTGTTGGCTAACTTTCCTCTTTCCTTTTTCCTTTTTCATTTTTTAAACTATCTTTTGATCTTTGATCGCTAAAATTCCAAAAATCTAAATGAATTGTATGGCTAAAATTGTGTACTTTCATGCTTAAATTATAATGATGATTAGGGAGGACCTGAATGCTCAGAGACACAAATTTGAAAGAAAATTTAAATGCAAAAGCATATGTTGAAGCATATCTAGAGAAAGAAATTGAACAACAAAGTAGAAATCCAGCAGGAATCATCAAGAATTTTCAATCCCCTATTTAAAAGACTAGACTATGATTTGCCAAAATTTATTATCAATGTTATTATATAAGATTTTATTTTTTCATGAAGAGTTTTTTTAGTCATTGCTTAATAACTTATTTATTTATAATGCAAATCAAATAGTTTACTTTAAACCCTTTGAATATGCATCCACTAGCTCTCATGATTTCTAATATTCCTTTCTCCTTTCTTATATGAAGGTTATAATATGGAAATGGATAGAAGTTGGATGTATTGTTCGAGGAGTAATATGGTTTTTAAAGGAGTTAAAAACTTTCTAAATTTTGCATTCAATAATGGAAGTTCAAGTGGAATGATATTATGCCCATGTAGAGATTGTGGAAATGGCATTTGTAGGACAAGAGATGATGTTGAAGCTCATTTTCTTTGGAGAGGATTCAAACCTGGATATTACCATTGGACTACTCATGGGGAAACTTCATTTAAAAATGACATTGGATCACATTCTCTCATTGATAATGATGTTAATGATGACATGGAAGGGTTATTAAATGATGCATTTAGGTTTGAAAGTAATACTGCAGATGAACGAGAAGAAATTAATAAACCAAACGTAGTTGCTGCAAAGTTTTACAAGTTCATAAGTGACTCACAACAAGAATTATTTCCCGGATGTAAAAAAGTTTTCAAAACTTGATTTTCTTGTTAGGCTACTTTAGCTTAAATGCCTTGGTAATTGGACTCAAAAATCATTTACTATGTTGCTTGACTTGTTAAGGGAAGCAATTGAAGATATCCGTCTACCAAATTCTTATTACGAGACAAAGAAGATAATTCAGGATTTGGGCTTGAGTTATTAAAAATATGATGCATGTCACAATGATTGCATTTTATATTGGGCTCCTCATGAATTTAAGAATTAATGTGATATTTTTAATGAGTCAAGATGGGTTGCAGAAGATAGCACTTCAAAAGATATATCAAGTAAAAAAAATAAAATGGTTGTAGGAAAAGACATATGGCACTTCCCATTAACATCAAGATTGTAGAGATTATTCATGTCATCTAAGACTGCATCATATATGATTTAGCATAAAGAAGATCGTATAAAAGAAGGTTGCTTGAGGCATCCGACAGACACTCCAGCTTGGCAGCACTTAGACTATTTTTGCTGTATATCCTATAAATGTATGATTGGGTTTAGCATCAGATGGATTTAATCCATTTTGGACAATGAATTAAACTCATAGTACTTGGCCTATTGTATTGATGTCATATAATTTGCCACCTAATTTGTGAATGAAATCACAATACATGATGCTTTCTTTGCTTATTCCTGGGCCAACTCAACCTGGAAATGATATTGATGTTTATTTACAACCACTTGTAGCTGAGTTAAAAGAGTTATGAGAAATTGGTGTGCAGACTTACGATACATGTTCTAAGGAGAATTTTCAAATGTAAGTTTCATTATTATAGACTATAAATGATTTTCCATGTTATTCTAACTTATCAGGTTATAGTATAAAAGGGAAGTTTGCATGCCCTATTTGTCAAGAGAGTACATGTTCTGAGTGGTTACATTCCAGTCATAAAATATGTTATACGGGACATCGGAGATTCTTAGATCATGATCATCCTGATAGAAAAGATAATCGATCTTTTAATGGTTCTGAAGAATATGGGACAATACCAACACCAATTAATGGATCCAAAATTGTTGACATGCTAAGAAATATAAATGTGAAGTTTGGAAACAAAACATCTGCTAATCCTAATTTTCCTTCTAATTAGAAGAAGTTTAGTATATTTTTCAAGTTGCCATATTGGGGAAAAAATCTTTTACGCCATAACTTGGATGTTATGCATATTGAAAAGAATGTATGTGATAAGATTTTGGGTACGTTGTTAGATCTTGATTGAAAGACAAAAGATCATTTGAATGCACATAAAGACATGGAAAAAATGGGAATACGTCCTACATTGAACCCTACTTGTACTTCATATGGACATACTTATTTACCTGCAACATGGTTTACAATGAACAAAAAAGAAAAAGAAATTTTCTGTAAAGTATTGAAAAATATTAAAGTGCCAGATGGATATGCATCTAATATTTCAAGACGAGTGCAAATGAACCCATTGAAAATACTTCGTTTAAAGATCCATGATCATCATATAATAATGCAATAATTGTTTCCATTATGCTTAAGACGAGCCCTGCCTAAGTTAGTTCACTCTCCTTTGATTCATTTAAGATGTTTTTTTCAAGGCTTGTACTCTAAAGTTCTTGTCCCAATTGAGCTTATTAGATTGGAAAAAGAAATTGCAACTACACTTTTCCATCTTAAAAAAATATTTCCTCCTGCTTTTTTTGATATCATGGTGCATTTGACAATTCACTTGGCCACCGAGCCAAGGATTGGGGGTCCTGTATATTATCGTTGGACGTATCCTATTGAGAGGTTAGAAATTATTTAATGTATTATTATTTAATTTATTATATCTAACTTTAATAAAAAAATTATATCATTTATTAAACAATTTTTTTAGATTTTTGGGTAAGTTAAAGTCATATGTTTGAAATAGAAGTCGTCCAGAGGGATCAATTGCAGAAGGTTATATTGCAGAGGAATGTTTAACATTTTGCTCTTTATATTTTGCTGAGCATGTGGAAATAAGGCATAATCAACTTGGAAGAAATGAGTTGGATGAAAATATTTTGAATGAAGGACTTAATATCTTTAATACAAATGGTCAGGCACTTGAAAAAAGATAGGTCAATATCTTCAATGATGACACACTCATAAAAGCACATCGATATGTCCTTTTCAATTGTGAGGAAATAGAGTCATATGTTAGGTAAAAAAAATTAGTTAGAGAATACATATTTTCTTTTTTCTATATAATTATTATTTTTATATTCTTATAAAATTTATGATTATATACAGTGAACATTACACTATAGTTAAAGAAATGATAAGACAAAAAAGGTCTCGCTATGGAGAGCATGAAGCTAAAAGAGTGCACAATGAGGATTTCATTTCTTGGTTTGCTAATAAGGTTAGTGTTATAATGCTAATGTAATTTACATAAGAATTTTTACTGATTACATCTACTTTATTTTAATAGATTGCTTCAATTGATCCATTGAAGGATGATACTATTTCTACTGATTTGAGGAGCTTAGCTAGAGGTCCATCAAAGTTGTCACTCTATACAAGAAATACCTTATAAATGGTTTTAGATTTTATGTTATAGATTTGATGAAAAAAAGAAAAACACAAAATTATGGAGTGATGGTTAAAGCTCTAACTTCAAGCTTTGCAAGTATCAAAGATAAGAGCCCTATTTCAAGTAACTTGACATAGTATGGGATCTTAAAAAATATAATTGAATTGGACTACACAGCAGAGCGAAGAGTTGTTTTATTTGAATGAGATTAGGTTTCTAAAGGGAAAAGACTTAAGGAGGATGAGGATGGCTTCATCTTGACTAATTTTAATAAAATTAAATGACATCAAGAACATTTTGTGCTTGCTTCTCAAGTTCAACAAGTTTTTTTATGTGGAAGATCCTATTGATCCTACATGGTACATTGTTGTTACAACATTTCCAAGAAATGATATTAATAACATTCACATAAGCACGGATGTTGATGACTACTTGCAAAGTAAGACTTCTACTCAACAATATTTTATTGATGATGAAGTTCAATGGACTTGAGATGAAGTTGATGGCATACTACTAGAGTAATTTATTTGTGTAATGTTTATTTTGTAATGTTAGACCTTTTTTTTACTTATATCATTAGATCCTTATATCAATCTAATTACTATGTAACATGTTGTGGTTTTATGTGTTTCTTATGTGTGTTTATCTGAAGGTTGCATTTAGTTTTTATGTGGTGAACCTTATATTTTTTTTGAATATATTACATACTTTATTTTTCTCCATAGATTATGTGAGCAACATGGGAGATAAATTGCATTATTTATCTTATTAAACTTTACTCATGTATATGTTTTATAATGATTTTTAAGAAATGGCACCACACACCAGAACACATGTTAGAAATACAGGATATAGAGAACAAACTGAAGTTGAAATAGATGTTCCAACAAATACCATCGAAAATTATGTTGCAGGTATGCCTCTTATTTAAGATATTATCAAACTTTATATGCTTAGCTTACATTTACATTTATTTTACTTACAAGACTTTAATTTCAATATATTTTTTTCATAGTAGGTACAAGCAATGAGGACCAAAAACAAAAACGAGGTCCAACACATATGTGTAGTATTTGGGGATATCATGATACCCGACATGGTGGAGAATGACTTCTTGTTAATTTTAACAAATATGGACAACCTATTGGACAAAATAAATCATTATTGTCGATTTTTTAGGAACTATTGCTCGGAATGGGAAATCTGCACCTATTGATATAAGAAGTTGGGATCAAATGCCAAAGTCTTTAAAAAAATATGTTAGAAGTTGTTCAGGTATTTATCTTCATAATATGTCTACTTGTTTTGTTTGATTTTAGTTTCATTTATAAAATAACAAAATTCTTTGGATATAATATTAAATATTTTATTTTTTTCAGGAGAAATTTGAGATTACTCGTGCTAGTGATGTATGGGTTCTTCAATCAATTGGGAAGAAATGGAGGAATTGGAAAGCAGACTTTAAATCTTGATATTATGATCCAAATATGCCTACATAATTACAACTATGTAATGTGCCAAGAAGGATACTCAAAGATCAATGGAAAAATCTTCTTTCATATTGGAATTCAGAAGAATCAAAGGTATATTATCATAACTTATAAATTTTAAAGTGTTATTCATATCATATTTTTTATTAATTCGCATTTTGTATTTAGTGTATAAGTGAATGAAATAAAAAGAGTAGGTAAAAAAAGAGTTTGATGCACTTAACTGGAAAAAGGAGTTTCGGTCAAGTGCGTGAAGATCAGGTAAATTATATATATGTTTCTATCAGTGTGTGTGTGTTATACTTAAATTTTGAAGTCAATTATTCTTTTATTTTTATTAATTTTTTAAGGAAAAAAGCATAGGTCACTCACCAACAAGAGTTGAAATGTTTGAAAGGAGTTACACAAAAGAAGGAATTATTAATAATATTGATTCTTGTGAAGCTTTGGTAAGTACTTATAATAAACTATTGCATAATACAAAAATTTATATGAAAGAGTTAATATTCATTATATTTAGGAAAAAATGAAGGAAATAAGAAGTCAAAAATCTCAAATAGAAGATGTTAGAAGAGATGATATTTTCTCAAAGGTTCTTAAAAATGACAAGGTTGGAAGAGTTCGCATGTATGTATTTGGTGTAACTCCTTATGTTGCGTGGGGAGAAATCCCAAATCGAAGTAGCGCTTATCTATTAATAGAAGGTTACAAGGAAGCATTCAAAAAAATGGAAAAACAAGTCCAAGAACAAGGTGAGGTAATTGCTAAAATGAAGTTGGATATGCAAAGTACACAACATGCTACTAATAGCACCTCATTAAGAGCAACTCAATATTCTCAAAATGGTGATGTACACTCTTTCAATGATAGTGCTCATATTCAAGTAAGCAAACTATTTACTTATGAACTTATAGAGCCATATTTTAATCTTTCAAATGTTATTACAAATTTTAGTTAGATCTTCTAAACTTCATATGTATAGGTTGGAACTAAAGTCTCAGTCAAAAGTGTTCTTGATTCTATTAAAATTATGGCAATTGGATATGTTCAAAGTATGGATCCTACACATATGACTGGTAATTATCCATTAGGTCCTAATTGGTGTTCAGTTCATATAAGCATTCCTGTGAATTGGGAAGAACACTTGATTAGATTGTATAGTACTTTAACAACAATTGGACATGCAATTGGAACTTATGTTGCTTGGCCTCAAGCTTTAGTAAGTATTTTTTAATTTTAAATTTTTTTATTAAATAATCAAATTACTTATATTTATGTAATTAATTTAATTCAGGTTGTTCGTGAAGAAGATTAATATACACCATGAAGTATTTCTTATGAGTTCACTTTGATTTGAATAGTCTTACATATACTATAAAATTTGTTTATATATATGTTGATAGAATTTGGTTATACGGTTACTCTTTCTTCATTAGCATTTTTATTTTGCATATTCTTATGTAGTATTGACACATGAAACAAGAATCATTATTAGAAGATGTTTGCAAAAATTTAATTCAGATTGTTCGTAATGGTAATTTTTTACGTTATTTGCTTTCTATTGCATGAAGATTGGGCTTTATGCTAATATTCTTTGATGTTTTCTCATTTGCTTTTTCGATATTCTTTGGATTACTGTTTATGCTATTTCTCAACTGAAAATGTCTAATCCTTAGACACAAATGTGAGTGGAGATGTCTTTTGAGGATCAAGCAGTGAGAGGAATTTGGAGGAAGCTTAAAGTGGAGATCTCTGATGGCTGTGCATTTAAACTATTTTAAGTTTCTGTGAGTTGATAATTCTTCTTTTGTCCAAATTGCTAAAATTTCTATGACTGACCATGATACTTTGGAGAATGGTTTAAATAATACAACAAAATTTTATTATGAGTATGAAAATATCATGGACGATGTTTCTAAGATTGATAATTAAAAAATGGCATCACATTGTTCATTTAGCAAAGTCACAGGAAGTTCTAAATTTTCTGCTTTTAGACATAAAAAAATTTAATAAATCTACCAGGTGGGCATGATTATACTGTAAATCAGCATTCCTAGTATGGAAATTGGAAATGACACTATTGTGAACGTCGAACCTATGTTGCCTTTCTCTTATTCATTGATTTTGATCTGTTACCTTTTTTTTCTGGCATGGATACATGCGTAGACCCAGATTGGTAGGATGGATGTCAGCTGCTCTTATCGGATTAATGGTTTAATATAAGACAGTTGCAATTTTAGGATGATTGTTCAGCCTTCACCTACTTTGTCTTGGATGGTTCTTGCAGTGTTTCTTATAAAGAAAGCTATTATAGTTTAGGAAGTGGACAATGTTAGAATGCTTTGAACCCCCATAATGCATCAAACTATTTCTTAAGTTTTTAATAACTCACCTGGTGATAGATTTAGCTGTTGGTATTTGTTTAAAGTTTATTTTCCAAATTGCCGCTGCATTTGTATTTGGATACAACTTTCTTGCTGCTTTTAAGAAATATCTATGATAGAGGTTTCACAATTAGATCGACTAATGTGGTGATTGTAGAAAATCTATCATCTAACATATCTATAATATCATAGTAGTTTTCAAAAGCTCTACTTTGCCCACAACAAATTTTCAATAAATTTAATGAATGTATGCAGCTGTCCCAAGCCAACCGTCAAATACACTATCTGTTGGTGATGGATCCTCTATTTTTCTGATATGCGTTGTTTGAAAAATATAAGGAGAACTTAAGCTATAGTTTTTAATGTCATTTTCTTATGCTATAAGCTAGTTTCCCCTACAATCATAGGGGATTTTACATGGGATGTGCAGGCGTTCTTCTCCTAACTAATTATTTTTTATAAGTATTTCCTGGAGGGAAAGTATCTGAATTTATTAGTGGAAAGGAACCTAGTGATTTTTCAACAGACCTTTCCTTTGATTTCTCCCATATTTGTTGCTCTTAGAGTTTAACCTGGTGTTTTTCTCCTAGCTACAAATCTTGTTTGTTGAAATGATAATGCTGACAGGTTCAACATTGTTCCTTGTTTTGCTCTACCTGTTCTTCATAATGATTGTCATTTCTAGCTAAGATGTATTGATTAAACACATTATTATTTGTGTTGAGTTCTGAGCTGAAGCATTCTACTTCAAAAATGCGAGGAAATAATGTGTTCAATAGACAAAATGAGAGCTATTGTTTGAACATTGGGATATTGATATTGCAACGTTAGATTTTTGCATTATGGTTCATCATGAGAATTTGTGAGACCGCTAAATTTTGGGCTCATTTTGATTGTAACAAGGATATTGAGGAATGTAAAATTTCATTATATTGTTTCATTTTTCACTCAAATTTGTGTGTACTTTTAAGATTCAAATTCTTCGAGTACGATACAAGTGCTGATTTATAACTTCCAAAAAGGATTCTCATTGTACCATGCTATTAGTTTGGCATGAACATTTGGCTTCAAAATAATCTTGTTTCACCTGGATGGAATTTAAGTCCCTAGTACAAGCTTTGTTATACTATGGAGATTTCTCTGTTTGAGTTTTTGTACGGTTGTGGCTGATTTCTTGGATTTTGTCATTGTTTCCTTTTTAGCTCCATGGTTGCCTTTATTTACGAAGCCTGAGGTTCTTCTGTTGCAAAGGATCGGTTTAATGTCTTTAACTCGACAATGATGAAAGTTGTTATTATTGATCCATTCCCTATGACGACCATTTCTGCAACCAGCTTTTATGGAAGGTAGTTTTTCTGCAACCTGACTTCTAGGAAGGCAGTTTTGGCAACTTTGGGAAATTTTATCTGATGTGCAATTTGGTTTGGTATTTAGTTTGCATCTTTTGCATTTTGAATCCAGCTTAGTTGGTTTTTGTTATTACTTTTTTCACCTATGATTGTGCAGTAGCACTTGTGCCGAGTTAAGTTTTATTAAACTGTTTAGTTGTTGGGAGATATGGTGATTGATTCCTTAGAATGCAGACCATGCTTTAATTTTTTTTTTTTTTTTTTGAAACAGTGGAAAATATACAATCTTAATGCACAAGTGATTTATTGCATGGATGTTATTTGTAACCTAATTTACTTGGGAAGAAAAGCTTCCATGGCTAAAATGTTCACACACAATATTGAGACATATAAAGAACCAAACTGTTTACTGAGAACATTTTATTAAGTAAAAGCCTTCAAATTCTTGCTAGTAGTTGATAGATTATCACTAAAACACCAAATAGGCAGAAATCCCTAGGCCCAAATTGATTTATGATTTCACTAACAAGTAACAATTTATATTGACTGTCTTTGTTTATTGAGATTTATGGATTTAGGTAAACCTTACAGAATATGCTGAGAAACACAAAGCAAACATGTTTTACTTATGGACAAACAGGTAAGTACTTATGTTTGTGCAACACTTTGTTTAGGGTTTTATATTTAAGACTTCTTTATATTTTTATTGAACCAAAAAAATATTTTAGTTGACTATAAAATTGTTGTACTTCTTTTTATTATTTTTCAAATTTTATTCTACTACTCCCTTAATTGTTCCTTCTCAAGCAATTCTTTAGCGGCCTCTGTAATTCAGTCCAAGAAAAGTTCTGATGTTGTTTAAACATGGATATTCCAGCATTTATGTTCAGAGAACTGGATAGAAACGTGATGGTTGTGGAATATTTTTCAAGCATAAAAGGTATATGTACTCTTATTTTGTGCCATATAATACTCTTACTGGTATGTGCAGTATTGTAAATGAGAAATCCAAATAAGTGAGCTTTGTCTCTTTCATGGCTTTTATCTTATTGTTAAAACCATAATTAAATTACTTTTATATTTGGGAGTTGTTCATATTTCAAGCTGCTTTTCAAGAGATACAACTAATAGTCTTAACCATTGGAATCAGGAAGTTCTTTAACATGCCACAAGATCTAATAAAGTTATAGTAGTAATGTTTTGCTTAAAATACGACGGGATTTGTATGAGATGAGTAATTCCTTTCAATATGACCTTTGCTAATTTTTGCCTCTTTAATAATCAGCATTTTGATGCTTATGTGTTTCAGAAGTGTCCCGCAGGTCATATGAACTAGGTGCTTATCAATGCTAAACTTACTTTTCTTTATGTGTTCATTGTAAACAAGATTGCAATAGTGTCCGTTTTTTTTTTTAAATAATTTTTTCTAAAATTTGTGACTAGAATCGTATGCTTCAAAATCTCACTTATTCAAGATATAATCACTGAAACTATTGCTTTCTAATTCAATAGTGCGCATACACAAAATCATATGCATTATCATCCTTTATTAGTGTTTATGTTGTTATATTGTTTATTATTGTTGCTGATTCTTTCAAAATTCAAGGAGCTTGTGACAATTATTTGAAATTAAATAACCTTTATTTTGCAATCACGGGCCTTTTGGAGTGTCACTTATTGCAGGTCATGACGAGAATGGGCCTAGTTTGTAAGTACTTAAATATTTAAGTTCTTTTGCATTGAAACAATGTTTATTTTTGTATCTTCCGTAATATAGGATATTAACTTTCATATTAAAAATTTCACTTTAGCAATGTTTGTGTGACTAGTTCAACTCTCAAGTGAATTTGGAGGCCCCATTTGTTGATTGTTTCTGGATTTTTTTTATTTGATTTGGTGCTTTGCGTGGTTATTTTATGTAGCTAATTTAAGCGCTTAGTTTCACTATTTATTAATTTATTTTTGATCCTCATTATTGGTATCAGGCCCCATCAAGAATATTTGCATGTTTATATTAAGTTGATATTCAATCATTGAACTTATGCCCAAATTGATAAATTTAATTCAAATTCAAATTTTTCTATTGGGTGGCATTATCTAGAAGCGACAAGCCTTAAACTAACTCAAATGCGGTGAGAATAGGTAATTGTTTGCTTGGATAATTCCTATAAGATACATGTCACGATTTAACATGAGAATGTCGGTGAAGTAGAAAATGGTTTGCTAGAACGCTATCCACAAGTGACAAATAATGACACCTATTATGATGTAAAGTAGAAAGAGCTGTTATGCATAAAATTAAATTTTATTTTATTAAGTAGATTTTGGCACTTTAAAAGGGAATAAAAGTGAATTAAATGATGGGATGATTAGTTGAAAATTTAATATCACTTGTTTATTAAAAAAAAAATCAAATGTAAATTTACCCATGAGGCTCTTAATAAAATTTGCAAGTTTAATCTTCAGAATGTGCCACTTGCTTTACTAGTTCAGTTTATGAGGGAGCATCGGTCCGAGTGGGCTGATTCAGGTGTTGATGCTTATTCAGCTGCTTCACTGGGAACAAGTCCTAATTATGTCGTTCCTGGTTTGAGGGTCATTAATGGTTTTTTGGGCAGCCATATCATTATTCCTCTTACTCATACTGTGGAAAATGAAGAGGTCTTGGAAGTTCTAACCATTACATTCCAAATTACATTTGAGAATAGTGCCACAGTATATGATTCCATCAGAATATTGCCACAGTATAATATCCAAGCAATTGAAGATCAGTTTTGACCATTGCATTCCAATTTAAATTTGAGAACCATCTCCGTGAAATGTCACAGCAACGGCTCGACAATATTTTTGAAGTGTTGTGGCCTCAGTCCAACGGGTAGCAATGGCAATTTCTCCCTCTAGACTTTGCAACCAATTAAGAATGAAGCATACTCCTGGTTCACCTGAGGATTACACCCTGTTGTTGTGGATTTCTCGAAGTTACTGGTATGTATCATGAGCTCCACATAATGAAATAGAATTACTCAAAATAGCATTATATTTTGTTAAAACAAAACATTTATGTAAAAAAAATTTATTTAACACAAATCATTAATTTTTTTTGTTGTGCGTCTTTATTCCCTGATTTATGCTTGAATACAGAAGTATTTTATTTATGCTTGAATACAGAAGCACCAATTTGGATTTTGTGTCATTCTTTATAAAGTATGCTGTCTACTTCTCTTATTTATTTCTTAATTATTTTTATTCCATGAATGATATTTTATTACAAGTTTCATACTGGAGTTGAACTCATTAGAACCGATACTCATGCTGGTGAAACTCTGAAATTCCTATGTCACTATCATGATGTAATCATGTGTTGTTCTCTCAAGGTAAGCTTTTTTGTTTGTTTTTTTCTTGTTCTTGAACTCAACTTTCTAACCAAGGTACCATATAAACTCTAAGCATGCTTCTCCCTTGTTCACCTTCGCTAACCAAGTTGGACTTGACCTGCTTGAAACAACTCTCGTTGGCCTCCAAGACATTTCGCTGAAGAAGATACTTGATGACACCAGTTGAAAAGTTCTATGCTCTTGGTTCCCTAAGATAATGCAACAGGTCATCTTTTAGCAACTGAAACTATATTTAAAAAGCTACATTTCAATAGTCTTCATGATTTGATTCATGTTTAAAACTACTTTGTTTCTTTATTCTTGTTGCAGGGCTTTGCCTATCTCCCAAATTGCATCTACATGTAGAGCATGGGGTGCCTGGTGTCCTACGAGCAGGCCATCGCTTGGAAGGTCCTACACGAAGATCTCTTTCTAAGATTAATGAGCTGAATATAAACTAAGATTGGCACTTGTTTTCAATTTTGGTTTTTTTATCTTAATTAACATGAAGAACCAAGCGATGTGTTTGGTGACGATTGTAATATATTGATTATGTACATATATGAAGATTGAAGTAGAATTTATGTTGTATTTAAGGTGGGAAATTTTTGTAATTTTATATTTATGAAATATATTTTTTATTTGTAGAAAAATATCATATGTAAGCTGGCTCTCATATGTACGTGAGATATTTAGAAATTTGATTGGAGATTAATTATTTGTAATCAAAATATTATGATCCAACATAATTAATTGATAATTAAATGTAATTAATATTGTATATATTGAGGCATATAATGATGCTATATTATTAAAAAAATTTCATTAAATTGGTGTTGGAAAATCAAATATCTTTGTGCAACTTAAATGTGCCTTATTATAAAACATATTCCATCAAATAAATGTTTTAGGAAAGTTAGCATATTATGACATATAATATTTGTCATATGTATTAATAAATTCCATCATATGAAGGTGTTAGAAAATCTTGTCTATTAGGACACTTTATAGGTGTCATTGAAGATATTATGCCATCAAAATTATATGTCATGAAAGTTTAGTTTTTAAGGCATATAAGAATGCCCTTAACCCTATGCCAACGGCCACCTAAATGACAGCATTGTTTGATGCCCTAATATATAATGTGCCCTAATAGATACATATTAAGGCACTTTAAGGTGCCTTAAAAGCCATTATTTTTTGTAGTGTACGTACTAATCAGAATATCTAATAATTTCATAAGAAGAGTTGTGCTTAGGATACCAAATCCATAAGTTTTAAGTTCCCAAAAGATATCTCATAATTCTTTTAACTACTATCAAATATGATTTATTTCAATTAGATTGAAATCTAGCACACAAATAAATACTAAATATGATATCTAATCTGCTAGCAGTCAAATAAAGCAATGATCCAATTATTCCTCTAAATTTCTTTTGATCAACAAATTTTCTCTTAGGATCCTTATCTAACTACACTAAGGAACTCATTAATGTAGTCACTGATTTAGCATTATCCATTTCATTATTTTTGAGGATGTCCTCAATATACTTTGGCTGACTAAAAAAAGTTCCTTCCTCATTTAGCTTTATAGTAAAATTAAGAAAATAATTCAAATCTCTCATTAAACTTATCTCAAATTAACTACTCATTATTTTTAAAAAATCATCACAAATTATTTTTTTTATAGATCCAAAATGGATATCATCAACATATATTTAAACAATGAATAAGTCATCTCTTATCCTTTTCAAAAAGAGAGTGGTGTCTACACTTCCTTTCACAAATGATTTCTCTAATAAGAAAGTGTTTAACCTCTCATACCAAGCCATAGGTGCTTGTTTCAGTCCATATAAAGCCTTTTTCAATTTAAATATATGATCAGGGAATTTAGAATTTTCAAAACATGGAGATTGCTCAATATAAACATCCTTTTATATCACCTTATTTAGAAAGGCACTCTTAACATTCATTTGATATAATTTAAAACCTTTAAAACAGGCAAAGGCTAACAAAACCCTAATTACTTTAAGATTGGCTACATGGGAAAAAATTTCTTCAAAATCAATCACTTCGATTTGATTATACCTTGGTCACCAATCTTACCTTATTTTTAATCACAACTCCTGAATCATTAATTTTATTTTTGAACGTCCACTTAGTTCTAACAACACTTTGATCCTTAAGCCTTTCAGTCAATTTCTAAACATCATTTCTTACAAATTGATTTAATTCTTCATAAATGGCTAAATCCTAAAATTCATTTGAAAGTGATTGATTTATATTAATGGGTTCAATTATTGATATAAAAGAAAAATGGTTCACTTGTTTGCTAAGTCCATGCCTACTCCTAACACACTCACTAGGTTCACCTAAAATTAAGTCCTTAGAGTGATTCTTAGAAAATCTACATTCTCTAGGCAAATGGTTTTCTTTTTCAACATCTTTTCTAAATTTATCTTTTCAATTCCTTAAGAGGTATTTTCAATATGATCATCTTCCAATCTTAGCTCTTCCAAAATGTCATATTCATCAAACAATATATGTGTGGTCTCCTCAACTATCAAAGTTCTCTTGTTAAAAACTATAAAAGATTTTCCAACACTAGAATATCCAAGAAAAATTCCTTCATCAGATTTAGGATCATATTTTCCTAAAAGAATTTTATCATTATTGTGAAAGAATACTTTACATATAAAAATATACAAATGTGAAAGATTTGGTATTATACTCTTAAGAAGTTCATAAGGTGTCTTATTCAATATAGATATAATATTCATTCTATTTAGAATATAACAAGTTGTACTAACCGCTTCAACCCAGAAATATTTTGAAAGTGAGTATTCTGCCCACATAGCTCTAATGGCTTTAATTATAATTATATTCTTTCTTTCTACTACTCCATTCTATTGAGGGGTCTTAGGTGTTGAAAAATTGTGATTAATTCCTTTCTCTTTATAAAAAACTATAAATTTCTTATTTTTAAATTCACCTCCATGATTATTTTGAATTGAAAAATCTCACATCCTAATTTCATCTGAATCCAAGTATAAAAATTTATAAATTCCTTAAATGATTCACTCTTATGAAATAAGAATTTAACTCAAGTGAATCTTGAAAAGTCATCAACCCTAACAAATCCAAACACTTTATGTGAGACCTCGTTCCCTTACTGTTCCTCTCTTCACTATTGATATCTGGGGCATCACACTTTACCTCCTAGACTTACAGTACTAACTTGTCAAAAAAGATCTATGTAAATGATTTTTAATGGTTTGCTAGTTCTAAGATTCTTAATGGAATGAAAGGAAGACTTCACATGTTTTCATAATTTATATGCATCACATAGGTGATCCTTAGTAAAGTCTAATTTAGGTATTACTTTAACCAATTCTTTTTAGATAGTTTTCCAAACATTTTTCATGCTTGCATGATAAACTCTCCTATGTCATAATCATGATTCATCAGTAATTATTTTGAGACAAAAGATATTAGAATATTTAATATAATTCAAATTAAGCATGTACACATTATTTTACTTAATTCCATATAAAATATCAATATCATTTTGGCTTATTATGCAGCTAGTGGAAAAAAAATTTATACTATAACTTTTATTACATAGTTGACTAATACTCAATAGTTTTACTTTTAGCCTTCTAACAAAAATATATTTTTAATGAAAAAATTATCCAAATTTCTAATCATGCATGTACCTACCACTTTCCTAATGGTATTATCTCCTAGTGTAACATTGCCTCCATTCCTAGCTTCTAACAATATGAATTGTGTCATATCTCCAGTCATATACTTCAAACATCTATTATCCAGGTACCAAATACTCTCATGAAATCTTATATGAGAGCATTTATATAAGATAATCAAATATTAGTCTTGGGAACCCAAACAAGTTTGGATTCTCCTCTTAGCAAAAATAATCTAGATGTATGCTTGATATAATTTATTTTATACATCTTAGGTCTTCACACTAAATGAGTTTTACTATGAATAATACAAGTGTGTGAGATATGTTCAATTAATCCACAAGAAAATAATTTCACTCTAGGAAAAAAGATTTATTAATCTATATGTATTAAATTGTCCTTTCCTAGGTTTTAACATTTTAGGCTTCTAATTAGGATTAAAAAATTATTCACGTGTGGGTGGTATCCTATTTTCCTCAATTGCTTTCAATTCTACTTAAAAAAATGAGTTAGTGATTTTCAAAATAACATTATCAACTTTCAAGTAGTGTTCTCTACTATCAGATTTATTCATAAATATTTTAAAATCATTTTCAAGTTCAATATGTGATGATTTTAATAGTTCATGCTATTTGTTTAACTAATCAAACTCAACCAATAATTTTATATGATTGCTATCAATCAATGTGTGATCATTCTTAAGGATTTCATGTTCTTTTTGTAATTCTAAAACTTCTATGTTCAACCTAACATGCATCTTTTTGAATTTCCTATATATAGTATTAATTTTTTTTAGAAACATCAAATAACTTTTTGCAAGTTAAGTCACATACATCTTTTCGATCTTACTGATCAAGTTTATCGGCCATCAAACACAAATTAGTGGCTTCCTCATCTACTTCTATTTCTGAAGAATCTGAAGCTGAATATGCCCAAAATGCTCTTTGTAATCTCTTCTTGCCCTTCTTTATATTTCTTTTCTCCTCGACATTCTCCTTTATAGGATTGGCTTTAAGATTCAGGCATTCAGATTTGATATATCCAAGCTTCCTTCATTCATAGCAAATTATATTATTATGAGCCTTAGCATTTTTATTGAACTTATCTTTATTTCATTACTAACGTCTCCTTTGCTTTCTCTTAAAAAAACTTATGAATTGCCTTGTCATTAAGGCAATGCCATCTTCATCCTCATGTTGAGACTGATCACTCTCTGAGTTATCCACTTTCAATGCTATATTTTTCTCCTTTTGCTCACCTGTATCAATTTATCTTTGAGTCTCTCCTTGCTAGTAATCAATTAGTGATCTAAGATGATTGTCAATAGAATAAACATTTAAGTCTTTTGATTATGTTATAATAGTTATCTTTGTATCATAACTAGAAGGCAAATAATAAAGAATTTTATTTACTTTTTAAGACTTTATTAATTCCCTACCTAAAGCCTGCAATGAGGTGATTATTTATGTGGAATGAGTATACATGTCAATGATTGATTCATTAGGTTTCATGCAAAATAGTTCATAATCATATAGTAAATTGTTCATTCTAGATTGTTTCACCTCATTAGTTCCTTCATATGTAATGCAATGCCTATCCCAAATTTCTTTTCCAGTTCTACAAGTTGAGACTCGCATATATTCTTCAAATTTAAGTGCATAAAAAAAGTTGTTTAAATATTTACCGTTTATCTGAGCTAAGTCTTTTTCTTCTACAATCTAGTTAGTAAATAGTGTTTCAGTTATAACTCCATCTATAATTATAGTTGGTGTAGTGTAGCATTCATGTACTAAAATCCACATGCGATAGTCAAGCGATTGAAGAAAAGTAGATGTACGTATTTTCCAAAAATCAAAAGGGATGTTATAAAACAATGGGGGTCTAGTGATCGAATATCCT